TCGGACGTCGGATCGGACGGTTTCGTCGTACGTGTGTTTCGCGCTTAAGAGTTCGTTTCAGCGCCAACACCCCACGCGTGCATGGACTCGCTGCACCGAGGAAATCGTGAGTGCGCCAAAATGCAATCCCGTCATGCCTCGCTCCGGCGAGGAGCGATGAGCAGACGACGAGGACTCGTCTGCTACGATGTGTCGCGGAACCGAAAGGAAAAAAAAGTAGATTTTTTGATAGAAATCGGGTCCCGCGGGCAAAGGAATCAAATGCGAGCTTGAATTGTAAGCGTCTGCTACTTCATGAAGGAAGCAACTGACAAACCGTGCTTTATTTGCAGGTTTTAAGTCGCTCCGTTGCCGTACAGACGCTGAAATATACCGGTGTGTAAAGAAATGCTCAGAACAGACGCATCAGCGGCCCTCGATATGTTTATCACCATCCGTGCGCGGGTGAAAAATTGAACATTTGTCGACAAAACTCGTGTTTTGTCGACAAATGTTTAACATTTACCTACGTAAGCTAAGGTACCCCGTCGTATTTTGTTCGAGAAAGCTCTTTCTCGACGCCTCACCACGGCTGATATCTGATTCACCTGTAATGATGATCGAAATCGAAAGTCCCACGAAAAGTTTTGCTGGATATTCCAAGAGACAAGTTTTTAAGCCGTACCCTTTCAATGGTTCACGTATGATACCATGCTCAAATGGGTCAAGCTTCTGCTCGGACAGCATCATCAGTTTTCTTCAGTGTAAGCGGCTATAAAGAGATCGCAACCAGCCGCTTTGTAGACAGCTGGCTGCGGAAATTTACGCCGTCTGTAACCATCTTTACGACAGCCCAGTTGCTTGAAGTCATCGCAAATATAAACTATAGAAAAGAGTCAAAGTACAGGCTAGCTGGTGGAAGTCAACCATTTCGTCGTTTACCCTGAGACCCCCCAGTCTCAGGGTAAACGACGAAATGATAAACTACAGGTTGCAGCGACCAACGTTTGTAGATAAACGTTGGTAGCGACTGCACTCTCGCATTTCCACCCATGACTCCGAACAGAAAAACACTATTTTCGGTTTGAGGTTGGTACCTTTTCCATGACATAGATGGTGACAGCATCAGTTTTCTGGACTTGGTTTTCTGCACTCGGTGCATCTGGCGAGTTCGTTTGATTCCAGTTCTCCGTGCAACACTCTGCGAGTGCGATGCATTCTGGGAGAGAACTCGAACAGCGCCAGTGCGTGTGAAACAAACTCGCTATTAGACACCTATGCTAGTCGAGTAAAGGCTCCGTAAGCTGGTGTGCTAAAAATGGAGTCACTCCATCTTAAGACGTTTTGAAATCAGAACATAAGAAGCTTTCATGTTCTCCACTAGTGCGAGGCGATGTGATGTGCGTGATTGCTTGTTCTAATTTTCAAAAGTAATGCTATGGTTTGGCACGTTACCCACAATCTTCGCAGGGACAGTTGAACTTCTCATCCAAAAAATGCAGAAGGCAAGAGTAGCAGTGCCAAGGATTCTCAACAACCTCCCTGAAGGTGGAGTTGGAGACTCCATGCAGAAGGCAAGTTCATGTTTCAAATAGCTTAATTTCCATGTGCCTGCTGGCACATGGAAATGTGCCACCTACTGGCAAAAGCTTGCTGATACAGCAAGCCTTTGCCAGTAGGAATGTATAGAGCTACCTACTGTTAGGGGGAACTCGCTGATGGATGGACGGTGCTCCGCGTTTTGACAGCTGCTGGGGCAACGGGAAGCTCAGTGCAGACGCAGTAAAGCATGAAACACATGTACGACGAAACCGTCCGATCCGACGTGCGGACTGCCGGAATGACTTTGGGAGCGAGGGTTTTCGTAGCATCGGAGAGCTTTGAAAACCCTCGCCTCCGACCGTCGTATTGCGTGGTCGGACGTCAGATCGGACGGTTCCGTCGTACATGTGTTTCGCGCTTAAGCTTCAGTAGCAGACAACGCGCTGCATACGCCACCAATTCTGCTCACTGCATCTGTTCTGAGCCAGCCGAGCAGACTCAGTAGTTGGCTTATATGTAAAATTCTAAGTTTCCAGATTTTTATTTTTTTAAGTGAAATTTTTTTTTATTATTATTACGTATTGACTAATTGCACTTTTTTCAAGCATCTTGTCCCAAATGCAGTACATTAGGCTCGTGTCTGAAATATTCGTCCCACAGCAGCACTTGCAGACGGATGGCTGTAATTAGGACAAAGAGCGGCACAATTCTCACAGAACAGTTTAGAATGAGAAGCGGCCTCACTTTTCTCCTCGCTTCGGTTCACTTTCTCAAGGCAACTTAGCGAAGAGGAGAGGGAATGAAGAATCATGACGAGAGTATGTCCCGTCAGCCTTGTTGAATTGCTCCCTTTCATTCCCAAAGTAAGTAATGGAATTGAAAAACAGAGGATTAAGAGGAGGCAATGCGATCTCAAGGCAGGGCGGCCAGGCGAGGGACAGTCTCCCCACCATTCCTCGCGCGCGGGCCAGGGCGCTTGGGAAAATAGCAAATCGTCTATTGGTCGGATGTGCGCCAGGGCACTTGGGGGAAATTACAAATCGTTTCTTGCCTATCTCTTAACCACTGTGCACACTGTCACGGCCTTCATGCTTGGTGGGCTTTGCTGCCTTGCATTGCCGTGTTAGGAGCAGCAAGGTGCGGGCAGTATTTGGGTTAGCCCAATCGGCTTTGAACTATTTGCTCTCTTAGACACTCTTTCGTCTTAATTGTGTCAAATGCTTATTTAAAGAAATGCAGAACTATAATTTAAAATTCTGCATTAGTATGGCCATCAAACTCAGTCCGATATAAAATTCATCTGAAATTCCTCAATATCATTTAAGGGATCGTAAACCAAAATTTGGATTAAAAAAAAAACAAAAAAAAATGCAGATGTAGGTCTGGACGCTACAATCACTACAACATTACTCGTTGGGCGATATCTCGAATGGACGGCCATATTTTTGGAAAAAGAGGCCGAGATTGAACCAGGCCGACGAGGCGCGTGACGTGAAGATATCTTGTTTCCTCCTCTCTTCGCTTCGCCCCCTCAAGGTGGCGAGGTGAAGACGCGAGGGCCGTTGCCTCTCCTCAGAGAAAAGAGACGTAAACATTTCTGTCAAGTACGCCTTTTTTTTTTCTTTTTTTTTAAATACAGTCATTTGTTAGAGATATTGCTGATGAGTGATGTTTTGGTGTTTGTAGCATCCCATTGCACGCTTTTGCTGTATGTTTTGTGGAATCCAGATTTCGGTTCGACATCCCTTAAAGTGTATCCACACGACGGACCGGGCCGCGGACCGATTGATCACGTGATGCGCGGCCCGCGGACCGCCCGGCTGAAATGAGCATCCACACGGCGGACCAAAAGAGATTGACAGAGCGAACGGGCCAGACTAACCCTCGACCTCACAGCTCCGCCAAACGCATGCAGCGAGCTGCTTTGAGGCTATTTGTAAGGAGCCAAGATGGAGGTTGAACGAAAGAGACGTTTGGCCGCGGTGGCCCTGGCGTTGACTGTTGAGGACGTGGAGGACTTAAGTGAACCGGAAAGGGCATGCATCTATTGTCCCACAGAGCGGGGAATTGCTCCACGAGCGCGATTAAGTAAAAAGTTGCATCGTCACACCATACCGCCATCGAAGCACAACAAAAGGTTGGTCTTCTTCGTCTTCACCAGTTGGCGCCAAAAGAAAACGACTTTGGATTTGGATTCCAGTCCAAACAACAAAAGTCAGCTTGTTGCCAGACTTGGCACTTCAATTATACTAAAAACGCCGCGGTCCGCCGCCAAGGTTCGGGCGAAAAAAGTCACTTGGCATTTCTCAGAAGCGCGGTCCGCGGACCGCCGGCGGACCTCGAAAACCGGTGACGTAAGATCACGTGATGCGCGGCCCGCGGACCGAAACAGCAATTTGGTCCGTCGTGTGGATACACCTTTAGGGGGTTATGACATGCCAAAAATAAAATGAGATAACTGTACTGTTAGGACCCATTGTATGTTTCTATAATCCTCCTAAGTTTGTTTTGAGAGTGGCGCGTTAGTTTCGTGGATGAATCGATTTATATGCGGGTCCCTCGGACCCGCCCTATTTCAAAATGCCACCCTGGCTGGGAGGCTGGTGACTTCACCAGCCTCCCACGCGGCGTCCCCTTGCGCAAGCTCACAGACTTGGCTCTCATGGCGTCTCGAGCTTCAGCTTCCTCGTTTACCTTCCGCTTTTCAAGCATACGGTCTGTGACGATTACGGCATTGCTGCTCGCCTTGTCAAAGTGTTCGACATTGACCGCAGCAGCAATGAGGGTGATTGCTATCAAGAGACGTTGGAAGCTGTTCATTTTGACTGCAACCCGCTGGCGACCAGCTCCAGAGATGCGAGTTATGGACGAACTCGGCGTGGTCACCGTCGTCCTAGAATGTCTCGCAGGCACATGCAGGGTGGAAGGTGAACGGGCCGGGGCCGAGAGCAAGAATAGCGTGTCGGTTACCGTGCTGCGTGAGCGGTTTTGATTGTGCCGCGGCGAGGGAGAGCTTGGGCGATCATGGGGGCGCCTTGAATGAGAGAGCGTTCATGATCATGTGGTTTATGGACGCCATGGGTGTGAGTAAAGCCTGGTTCAGACAGTTGCGTTTGACTGCGTTTGACTGCGTTGCGGCAGCGAGAAACCAGGACATCCCTGCTACTTATATCGCGTGCCAAGATGATTCCTTGAATTGGATTCCACGCTTCATACGAAGCACAGATGTGCCGGTGACTCGCTTTCGGTTCTCGACGCAACGCAGTCAAACGCACTCAAACGCAAGTGTTTGAACCGGCCTTAACTTGTGCAGTGTTGCCTGGTCGCCAGATGAAAATGATAAAAATTTATAAACCGATTATTGCAATTACCAGAGCTCTAAAAATAGCACAATTGGTGTATCTACTAAGTAGCCTATGAGCATTCCATATCAAGAATAATCTATCCGTCATAGCCCCTTTAATGGTTACATATTCCCAAATCATTGTTTTCTGCTGGGTTTTACTGCATAATATTGATGCTTTTTTTAACCTATTTGCAAATATGGACGGTGATGCCATTTTGAACTTACCGTGATGGTCAGCGTTTCCAGTGCAGTGGTCAAGCTCACTTATTTGGGGCGCAGTGGCCATAATCAAAGCTGCGTTTTCAATGCTTTCTGTTCTGAAATGTGGGATATTTTGGTCCTAAGCTGCTGCAAAACGCAAATTTTCCTCGTCCAAAAATTACTCCAAAATAATTTTTTTTTTTCTGTCCTACTCCTGTTTTATGGATTTTGTTTGTGTAACAGTGTTTCCATTGCTTCTACTTCCATTTTTTGCAGAAGTGGCCCGTAAGAAGGCTTCACAGAACGGAGCTGCAGTGTCCCTTGGTAAATTGCTCTTCAAAGCATGTCTTTTCATGCGCTAATCAATAATTGTATTTCCTTTTCAGGTCGTCGAGCTTCAAACGGCCGCGATGACTTTGATCTTGCTTCTACATCACACTCGGGTAAGTCTAGATCACTGACATTCTAATGTCATGGGCAAGATTAAAGGCCATGCTTTTGAATGTTGGAGGCAAAATCGGTAAAGGCCATAGAGCATCTTTCGGCTAGAAAGCATTTTAAAGATATTGAGGGTCTGCAAAGCCAGGAGCCAATAATTGTATTTACTCCTTAGGTCATCAAGCTTCGAACATTCTCGATGGGTCTGATCTTGCTTCTACGTCCCACTTGGGTAAGTCTGGATTACTGACATTCTAATGCCGCGGGGAAGATTAAAGGTCACGCTTTTAGATGTTGGAGGCTAAATCGGCAAAGGCCATAAAGCATCTTTCAGCTAGAAAGTTTTCAGGCATTCTAAAGATATTGAGGTTCTGCAAAGCCAGGAGCCAATAATTGTATTTACTTTTTAGGTCGTCATGCTTCGAACAGCCGCCATGGGTCTGATCTTGCTTCTACGTCGCACTCGGGTAAGTCTGGGTTACTGACATTCTGATGTCGCAGGGAAGATTAAGGGCCACGCTTTTGGATGTTGGAGGCTAAATCAGTAAAGGCCACAAAGCATCTTTCAGCTATACAGTTTTCAGGCATTCTAAAGATATTGAGGTTTTGCAAAGCCAGGAACCAATTATTGTATTTACTTTTTAGGTCGTCATGCTTCGAACAGCCGCCATGGGTCTGATCTTGCTTCTGTGTCGCACTCTGGTAAGTCTGGGTTACTGACATTCTGATGTCGCAGGGAAGATTAAAGGCCACGCTTTTGGATGTTGGAGGCTAAATCAGTAAAGGCCATAAAGCATCTTTCAGCTATACAGTTTTCAGGCATTCTAAAGATGCTGAGGTTCTTCAAAGCCAGGAGCTTGTTTAAATGATCGAAATTAATGAATAGGTCTCCATCTTTTCCGCGTGCTCTAGCATCAGCTGCCTCCCTTGGTCTCGTGTCAATGGCAGCTCTACTCCTTGCTTCTCCCATTCCTGCAGCGGCACCCTCTCTGCCTCAGCACCCTGCTCCCGCCACTGTAGCTGTCCCCCCGATGGATCAACACAATGCCCCCGCCCCTGCAGCAGCCCCCCCTATGGATCAACACAACGTTCCAGCCCCCCCTTTGGATCAAGAGCCCGTTCCTGCCCCTGCAGCTGTCCCCCTTTTGGATCGCCCCGCTCCCATCCCTGTGGCAGCACCTCCTCTGGACCAACACCCTGCCCCACCAGCGGCTCTTCCTCAACGTCCTGTTTATGGCGAAGCTGGAAATCTTGGTAAACCGAGCCATCAAAGTCTGATGATTGTACAGTGTAGACCGCATATAACGTATGTCGCGGGAGTCGCAAAAATCCGCACTATAAGCGGTACCGCACTGTAACCGAAACATCAATTTTTCAGGCCAAAATACATGCCATCAGACAACTTACCTTTGTAAAAGAATTTATTTTATGTTAGATGAAAAATTAAGCTTAGTTTGAGGAAAGTCTTTATTTCACCAGGCTAGTACACTTCTCTCTCAAGTGTGTCACACATTTTGAAAGAAATTAGTGACTTTTGCCTGGCGCAGCCTTTTAACGCGTCGCGGGTTGCGGACGGACGTTGCGAGCGTTCAGGATTGCTAACCCTAATCACTTTTCTCCGGCGATGAAAACGCAGGAAAATTCGCATCCTTTATACGGTACGCGCCAGTAATACCTTCAACTTGAGCACAGGCATGAAATGCTCCAAATAAGAAATCCGGACGATGTTCGAAAACACAAATGCTTAGAAAGCACCACTGTAGTCGAAGTAAACAAACACGACGACATGGGCGTTTCTGCCGTCTTGAGAGTGCCACCACAACATCGCCGCACGAGTAGGTGGATCTTCCCTTCTAGTACGTGCTGGGTTATCATAGCGACACACAACGAAAATTCACAGTCAAGGATAGCGCTTTTACGCGGAACGATGAGCTTCTACCATGCCGTCTATGTCGACGATCACCACCGACGCCATGTTTGCGGATAGAAGCAGCCGGTCCGCGACCAGCATGCAACGCGCGCGAACACTTCTCCTTGACCTGCGATTGGTCTCTCGTTGCGGTTGTTTGTTTCCAACGCAGCGGAGGGACGCACGCACGTGAACGACACGTGCGTGCGTCCCTCCGTCGCTATGGCAACTGAAGCCTCTCTTCGCTTCTTCGAGCAATCTCCTTGCCCTGCGAGTGCCGCTTGCGGCTTGTGCCGTTATCTAGTGTCGCACAGGGAAGCGTGCTCGCAGCGCCGGTCAGTCGGCGCGCTGTTCCAAAAACCGCACTATAACCGGTATTTCCCTTTGCGCGCCTGCATTTTAAGCGGTATGTAAATACATGGAGTTCTATGGGAGGCGAACCGGTGGTTTAAAAAAGCCGCGTTATTCCCGGTCCTGCACTATAAGCGGTTACGTTGCAAGTGGTCTATACTGTATTGATATCAGCGTTTGTTTTCTCATAGAAAGCAGTTGGGTACAAAGCGCGATATTGTTAGCGCTGGCGAGCGATGACGAGTTTTTGCTGCTTTTTTGTTAGTCGGAATGCTGTCATTCAAATTTCTGGTGCCGTAGGAAGTGCTAATTTGGGACACTAACATACATGGTAAATACATGTGGGAAGCGAGCAGTTGTGATTAGCTGTTGAGCACCGTGTGTCGTTCGGTCAGGTTGCGCATGATCATGCTTTTGTAATTTTTTGGCTGCCTAGAGCTCTAAAGTGAGTTATCACCAAAACAACCTCAGAAACCTCCTTTAGTGCCCCCCTAACTTCATAGCCGCAGAAAGTTGTCCCCACTTACAGTATACAGTGAAACCTCGTTATAACAAAGTTGAAGGAGCGGTCATAATTATTTTGTTATAACCATTAGTTTGTTATAGCCAATGTCCATTTCTTTCCGCTATTAGCAAGCAAGGGGAATTATGATTGCTTTGTTATATCCATTAGTTTGTTCTATCCCATTTTGTTATAACGAGGTTTTACTGTAGTCCTTTCCTATGTGGGTTCGTCGTAATCCCAAAATTTTAGGTTGAATGGAGTTCGCCTTGAACAGGCTGTACTTATGCTTTGTCAAGTACTTGTGAATCCTTAGGGAGTTTCTGTAAATTCTGCCTAAAATCAAGCTAACCATTTCATCTCATCAGTGCACACACTTTTATATTTCATGGACAGCACACCAGCTGAATGCAGCTGTCCAGGGTCCACTGCGACCACTCTATGAAGTCAGGCAAGGGAATGTAAGTGACTGGTTTACATTTTTTTTTTTTCATTGTCCTTGTAAGGGGAGAATCAGCCAGCACTCCGTGCATCTGCTGAGGAAATGCCTTGCAATGATCAGCATAGCTACTGCTCTCTCTTACGAGAAGTGCGATGTGTTGACATTCTCGGCGTTCTCTCCGCGGCAGGTGCCGCATGCATCTGTCATGACTCGAGATTTCTCCTCTTCGCAGCGCTTGGCGCACTAATCAGTATTCCAATCCCTCTGTGCACATCGGTGACTAATATATAAGCACTAAAGTTCAGAGAGGACTGAACTGACATCATGTGTTTTGGTTACTTGAGGCCGTTTCATACACTTGCAATCGAGTACGACCAAGAGAGATGAGACCTGTTGAAACCTCTTAAAATTACTTAAGACAAGAGAGCACACTGGCATGCTGGTGACACCTATGCGGTGACTCTGGAACTGCATTTCACAAGAGCGGAGGTTTTGGATTTCCGAGGTCAAATGTTTGTAATACCAGGCTCGTTTATAACGTTGACAAACGTTTTTCGAGCCAAGAAAGAAAGGATAATGCACAAGAGAAGTAGAAAATATGCTGGACTGCCTCTTGTCGTAAGAGAGATTAAGAGGTTCCAAGGCACTCGGTTCTAAGAGGTTGCAAGCGTGTGAACGGGCCTTAACATTAGAGTGACTAAAGCATTGCATGTCCTGAAACCGACCAATATTACGAAATGATTTCTGCAAAATCCTGCTTTCTTCATAGAATCCTTCCTTATTATTGCGTGCCTTTTGTCACAGATTCATCTGGGAGACGATGTCTACCTCTCCGAAACAAAAATGACGCACCTTTTGAAACTGCCAAGTGACCAGAGATTCACTAAAGATCTCATGCGGTGCATCTGGTCCATCGAAGAGCTGCGGCAAAGAAGCGTGACAGGCCAAGCCAGCCGTCGCCTGGCCAAACTTGGAGCCGCAGCAAAGCAAGCACTCACACCAAGGAAGGTGGCCGCAGTAAAAAGTAAGCTATGTGTTTTGGTGTATCTTCAGAATTTAGATATGTGATGCAGAGGTGGCTTTTGAATAGTGTTTATCATGTGCACTCTCAAATGCTTGAACAAAACTTTGTTGTTCTGTCTTCAATCTGCCACCAGCATCAAGAGCTTGTATAATGGGGAGGCTACCTCGTTTTTCTGATGAGGGGAGGAAGACACCTTTCTGCGACATTTACGAACAAAAGTTTGAATCAAAATAGAAGAGGAAAACACAACTTGTCCAAGGATTCCAGGAAAATATAAAAACCAGTCTGGTTTGTGCAACTGGCAGTATCAAAATTCAGGGTTTTTAATAGGGATGTCGCGAACTTTTTTCGAATCGAAGTTTCGATGATCGAATCAAGCGGTTTGAACGATTTCGAATTTTCGAACTTTCCATATGGACAAATTCGACCGAAGTCAAATTTTCGAACTTATTAAACTGAGAAGTTCGATGCTTTTCGAACTTATGACGCAGCAAAATTCGATGCTTTTCGAACTTGATAGACTAAAAAATTCGATTATTTTCGAACTTTCGAAGTTCTTGCACTAAAAGGTTCAAACCCTTTCGAACTTTCTACGCTGAGAAAGTCGATAATTTTCGAACTTTCGAACTTATTAATCTAAAGAATTCGAAAATTGTCGAACTTTTGATTCCAGAAAAGTCAAAAGTTCGAACTCGAACTTTTAGGGTGAAAGTTCGAAGTTCGAAGAACTTCGAAAGACCGGCGGCCGGTTTCATTTGGATTCAAGCAGTGAGGTACATTCGTAATTTTTTTTGCCAATTTTGCATGTGGCACACAACAAATTGAGAGTCCAACGAAGAAAAAAAATTTTTAGAGCTATATTTACGGCGCTATACGAATTTATAGTTGGCGCCGCGGAACAATGGCCCTTACTTATCACGTGACTGGCCCATATTTATCACGTGGTGCTTGTGCTCTTTCGGAAGCTTCCTATGGCCTCTAAAAGTAACTTACTCATCTTTGTTTGAAGTATAACAAAAAAGTAAGGTTAATAAGTAAACTTCTACAGCCCAAAGGAAATCCCTGGAAAAGCATAAGCCGACGTGATAGACCTGTGTGCTGTGCAGAGACGGTGGTGCGGAGAAACGCGTTGAAGCGGCGTCGCACAACGCTCGGCGTGCGGCGGCGGCAGCGTGACTTTGACCCGCGAGCGCCAGATACAAATTCGTTTTGTGCCGTAAATATAGCTAAATTTTTTTTCTTTGTTTTAAATTCGTTTTATAATATTCTTTTTCCATCTAGCCTGTTTACAAGAAATGTTTTTTTCCTTTGCATGTGTCCTTTAAGAAAAATGTTTATTTGTGTCGTAATCAAACCTCAACCACTGTCATCACTTCCATGAGACTCCTTGTTCGACGCCTCTTCCCAAAGGCAGTCGTCTTCAGCTTCGGTGCCGTCAAGTGCATCTGAAATCCCGCACATCTTGAAAGGGCGAGAGACGAGCGTGCGCCGATGCAGTGAAAACTTGGCGCGGCAAATAGAGCAAGCAACACAGTGGGGGGTCGGCTTGCCAAAGTTCTCTCGCCTTCTCATGCAGCAGCTCGATGTTTACAGCAAGGTGCCATTTACATTGCTCTTTCACAAAGTCGCTGAGATGTGCCTCGACGTCGGCGAACACTCCATTCATTGGGCCTCTAAAGCTTCTCGTTTCGTTGCACGCGATCAGCTTGCGTTTGTCGTCTCATCGGGTGATGCTGCCTTCATTTATGGCGAATTGTCATCCGGCAGCACTGTTGCCGATGTCTTCCACAACCAAAATGACTTTTCTTTTGAAGGCAGCAGAGTGTTGCTTTCGGACCGTCGGGCCCGAAAACTAGCCTGACTGCGGAAGATGGTGGCACCTCGGACATTGCTATTTTAAAGGGGTACGGAAACAAAAATTTAAATATTCAGATTTCGTTTGGAAATGAGTCAAGCATGACGGATAATAACCGTAAATGATAATTACACGTTTGTATTTTGAATGACTGGCTATATTGTTCGTTCCAAACGGTGCACTCGAGCAAGCGCTCGAAGAGAAGCGAATGGAGAGCGCGATGCGTCGGGATATCCGGTGCAAACAAAAACAGAAAGAAAAGATTTCTCGCGTCCATGGAGTAGCAAGGCAGGCGTGGTTATGAGCTTTGCCCTTGGTGGCATTGTCAGAGTTGTGGTGGTGTCAATAGCGTCGGTGCGTTACAACCGAGCATGTGACTGGCCCATGGAGGACGTAGCTTCCACAACACTGTCAGCTTAGGGCTGAACGGGGTGGGGAAAGTAACATTTGTGTTTTGAGGGACTGGCTAATCTTCTGTGGGGAGAACGGCTGTTTCCGGTTGCACGAACGAGGGTCCAAGAAAGAGGGGAGTCCTTCCTTTCTGTCTCCTTCGACCATTTGGTACAATACGCAATATGTGAGTTGAGCTAGGTGGTAAGCTAAAAGGGAAAATGTTGAAATTCCAAAGGGCGGCGCTGCTCCGAGGGAATCTGCTATGTTACGAGTACGTAGCAAGTTCCCCAACATTGTCAGATTAGCTCCCAAATAGGCTCCGCATGCATCCACCAGGTGCACATTGAAAGATTGTTTATTTAGCTTTAGAATTAGTTTTCTTGTGCCTTTCAACGGAAGACTGGTGTTTTTGAGGTTAGGGTGCAACATGCAACACATTCAAGCTAGAAAATAAGCACTGGAATTTCGTTTCCCTAACCCTTTAATGGGGATGATAGCTATTTTGAACACCATATTGCTTTGAAACCGAAACTATGTCAAACTGCGTTAGATCGCGCCTCATTGAAGCTGAAAATTGTTGGGACCCGCGTATAATACGAGCCGCAAATTTTACATGGCAAAATATGAAAAAAAAGAACTCTGATTTTATGCGGGTCTTACATTACTTCTAACTAGTAACTATTGATCCAATTTTCTTTCAGACGCCTTGAGCTACTACATCAACCACCACCCAAACCCTGAGGCTGCCAACCCCCAAGAAGACCATGCTGTCCGCCTGCGACAGATTAACAATACAATGACGAACTTTCTTTCGGATCTGGGCCGCCCTGCCAGGTGCCGCAGTGCAGAGTGAATTTTTTCTGTAAAAGAATGTTGAGTTGGGCAAGTTGGTTTATCTTAGATTAGAAAAGCGCCAGAAAACAAGGACAACAGCGCATCGTTTCGTCTATTCTTCCTGTTGTCCTTGTTTTCTGGCGCTTTTCTAATCGAAGAATTTTTTTTTCTTTTATTCTTTTTTAGTGCAATTTTTTACCTTCATGTTTTTATGTTGTGCATATTTGACCGACAGGCGTCGCACCGCACCACGAATTTTTTTTTTTTTTAATTATTTTATACTTGATCTCACCTTCTGTCCAAGCGCAGCAGAGGCTGCCAGCCATCTCAGCCAACCGACTGTTGAGAGAGAGTCATGTTTGCTTGAGCTCTCCCCGACCAGAACATCACGTGATACCCTCCGGACGCTGGATTGCCTGGTGTGGCTCATAGCCTCCGCTGCGCTCGAATGGAAGGCTTTAGGGGTTTATGTTGCTCCACACAAATGTTTTTATTGTCTAGTCACTTTCTTTTGTCTTGTGTAGTGTGTTGGGTATATTGAAATAACCATTCAATAGTATTTTTAGTGTTTGTCTAGTCGGACGTTTTTAATCCTTACTCGGGCATATTTGACCGACAGTATGGTGCCTCGAGCATATTTGACCGCACCATGAATGTTTTTTTTTTAAATTCTCTTTTATACTTGGTTTCACCTTTTCTCCAAGCGCAGCGGATGATACCAGCCATCTCAGCCAACCCACCGTTGAGAGAGTGTCACGTTTCCTTGAATTCCGCCCAACCAGAACATTACGTGATACCATCCGGACGCTGGATTGGCTGCGGTGGCTTGTAGCCTCCGCTGCGCTCGGACGGAAGGTGAAACAATGTGTTAACTACAGGGCTTTATGTCGCGCCACACGTTGAATGTGTTTATTGTCTAGTCACATTCTTTTATCTTGTTTAGTGTCTCGAATATATTGAAAGCACCATGCAATGGTTTTTTTCGTTCTTGTGTAGTTAAACTTTAATCTTTACAGTGTGGTGCCTCGGGTATATTTGACAGACAGGCGTTGCACCACACCCTGAATGTTTTTTTTAAATTCTTTTTTATATTTGGTTTCACCTTCTGTCAAAGTGTGGCGGACGCTACGTCCATTCCAGCAAACCCACAGTTGGGAGAGTCCAGTTTCCAGCCCATGTTGAGTCATGTCTAGTATTTAGACTTTCTTTTATCTTCTTTAGTGCCTCAGGCATAGTAAAGGCACCATGCAATGTTTTTTTGTTTTTCTTGTATAGTCGGACTTTTTTAATCTTTACTCGGGCATATTTGACCGACAGTATGGTGCCTCGAGCATATTTGACCGCACCATGAATGTTTTTTTGTTTTTTTTTTAAATTCTCTTTTATACTTAGTTTCACCTCCTCTCCAAGCGCAGCGGATGCTACCAGCCACCCCAGCCAATCCACCGTTGAGAGAGTGCCATGTTTCCTTGATCTCTGCCCAACCAGAACATCACGTGGTACCCTCCCAGCGCTGGATTGCCTGGGGTGACTCATAGCCCCCCCCCCCCCCCTCCCCCCTGTGCTGGGATGGAAGGTGAAACTGTGTTTTCCTTAGGACTTTATGTTGCGCCACACGCTGAATGTTTTTATTGTCTAGTCAGTCTTTTCTTTCTAGTTAGTGTCTCGTATATTGAAGGCACCATGGTGCCTTCAATATACGAGACACTTGGTTCTTGGCTGACTATTTTCAGTTAGTTATTCAGCCTTGGATTTACCATTTTTTATTGTTAAAACCACTAAAGGAGTGGTTAAAATTTCTATGCAAATAAAATCGTTGTGATAGTTTGTAGCCTGAGTTTTCAGTGTGGTGAAGCTGGCTGTACTGGTCTCAGGTACGAGTTGTACCGTTTTCACCAGTGAAACCGGTGTACCTGTGTGACCAGTATGGCTGGTTTTATCATATGCCCAGTATATCCAGTATTTCCAGTGCATCCAGTATACCCGTCCAATAATCCAGTTTGATACTGGCCCAGTATGCCCAGTAAAACCACTACCAGTATTCCCAGTTTGCCCGTCCAATAATCCAGTTTGATACTGGCCCAGTATGCCGAGTATGGAAATATTTTCAATAGGGCTGGAAGCCGTGTTGTCTCAACAGCTCAAACAAAGCGATCACCCTTTTGCGTATGCCCGCAGGAAGTTTAATCTGGCATAATATAAATATGCAGCAACGTTTGGCGGTAGTCTGGGCAGTCAAGCATATCCACTGTCACGTGTACGCAAGAAAGTTCAAGGTGATAACGAACTGTCGTGCACTCAAATGATTGGTGAACGCCCGTGACCCCATTTTCGTTTATCTCGTTCTAACTGGCTGCTGCAAGAACACAACCTTGAAGTGAAACGTCGGGCGGGAAAAATTAATCAGAACCGCTGACGCAATAGGCAGAGCCGGAGTCAGGGAAGTTACTCAGTATGAACAACATCGTGATGTTGATCGTTTTATTTGTGCACAGCGAGATGATAGAAAGCTTTTCACGTCCATCGCAAACTGCAAGAAGCAACTTGATAAGACATCCGGATGTTATGTTATCGACTCCCGATGCGTTATTTGTCGTAGGGAGCAGTGCGTTGAAGCCAGACCGTCTTGTGTAGAACCAAATTGCTGCCCCTGAATTGCTTTAAAATTACGTGATACAACTATATCATGATACATCTTGCTCTGGACACCGAGGGACGGGCAAAACTAGTGAAAGTGCTCGGGAGAAGTACTTCTGGCACAGAAAGCTAAGGAAGGTATATAGCTATTGTGCCCAATATGTGTCGCGTACGCGTCATAAGTCGTCACACAATACAAGGCGAGCACCTCTGAAATTATTCGAAGAGGCTGCATAACCATTTCAAAGGGCAATAATCAATATTGTGCGGCCATCCCCAACTACGATGGAAGGAAATCCCTATATACTGGTGTTTGTAGATCATCTCACCAAATATGCAGAAGTCGTCGCAGTGCTAGATCCGAAAGCCGAAACTTAACTAAAACTTTGTGGAACTCGTAAACCTTCGGCATGGAGTGCTTCAGAAAATCTAGATTGATCAAGGCTTTAACTTCACATCAAGACTCTGCCGGGATGTGTGCCAACTGCTAAGGATACGGAAGCTCATAACAACAGCATGCACTCTCAGAAATAGAGGGTGTGGCAGGGTACACCCCTTGTCCCGTATGTAGCACCCCAAAACAACCATTCGACGTTCAGGCAACCCACATCGCACCGACAATACCAACTTTCACGAGTGTCTTGCTAGTCGAGCGATACAACTTCTTAAAATAGCGAAATATGCATTGAAGGCTATAATAAGACAATCAAGGATTTTTTTTTTTTTGGCCCTGCTGCAAAATTCCAATGTTTTTTTTTCGTGGTCGTTTATACGCAGATTAGCCATGTAGTAGATTAAATTTGGTGTTCCGCGTTTTCGGTATTATTTATATTCAGATTCGGGGGTTATTTATCGGTTTTACTTTTTCTTTTGGAATCGGTGTTTTCGGTGTTTAACTTCAATGCTTTAAAGAAATCGGTGATTATCGGGGCTTGTGTTTCAGATCGACTGCTTAATTACTAGAAAAACCACGGCACACCTCACATTATACATGTTTATTGTACACACACCAAACACGTCCCACATTGCACATACATATGGAAATAACAGGAAGCGTGACGCTGTCAGAACCATGATATCAAAACTTAAACTTATTGAAAAAAATTGTCATGTACATTGTCAGACTTGTCAGTCATCGGAGCACGTTCCTTGCGGCTGAAAAATCGCAGTCCAGAAAACGCACGCTCCACGTTCGCGCTTGAAACGGGGATGGCAGGAAAATCAAAATAACCTTTAGACAAGACTGGCCATTCCTTTCTGTGCGCTCTCCGGAAGCTGCTAATGCAAACTTCTGCAGATGGAACTTTATGCAATGAATATTCTAGGAGTTCCTCTTTTAACGATGGTAGGTCGGCAGAGCTCACAACAGGCGAAAACAGACCACTGAAGTCTTTTTCTGCTGTCATTAGTTCCTGCTTCCTGGCTGGGTCCACAACTTGCACTAGATGCCAGAAGTCATTGCTAAAGAAATGAAAACTAGCCGGAATGTTCCTTTTCACAACGGCTTCCCACTTTGCCTGAATCTCAAGGGAGTGTTCACGGAAGCTGCGCACACATTTCTCTCGGACTCCAAAGCTCATTTGTCTAAGAGTATGTCGGTCTTTATACCAAATGCTTGCCGCTCAGGGAGGCAATGGCTAGCAAGAGTGGCCTCCAGACTAACCATGATTATATACACGTGGCAGACTAGTACTTCCTCAGATTGCAAAGATTTCATGACTGTGATTATCGGTTGGGTGTTCTCAGCAGGAAGTTACACTTCGCACAGAGTACAGCCATGTGTTCGGGGTCAGCGAGTGCTGCCCGCACCTTCTCGAGCTTTTCGCCTTTGGCTGTGCTGTTTACAAACTGCTTGATTGCTCTCCAGTAGACAAGAAAATCGCCGAGCGCTTCAGAAAAAGAGTACCAGCGCGTGGGAGCCACAGCGGCAAGTTGGCGAGCTGGCAATTCGAGGGACGTGCAGGCAGCGCGGAATTCGCGGCGTACTTCCCTGGAGCCTTTAAGCATTGCTGGTACACGAATTACCAACTCTCGCACAGCAGTGAAAGATGGTACCTTCATCGACTCTGTCAAAACATCGTTCAAAAGATGACAAATTTATCTTATGTGCACAACGACAAAATCAGAGCATGACGCGTTTAGTTCGCGAGTCATTTTCTGCATGTACGATACCGAGTCTGAGACTATCGCTGAAACATCGCTAAGAGTCTTGTCATTCTTTGTGAGCACATCTTGAAGCAGAAGGCTTACGGGTAGTAGAGTTACACCTCTTCAAAACGCGCAAGTCGGCGAGCACTGTTATTTTTAGAAAACTAGAATCCGGGTTAACTATTTTAAAGTGAAGAAACTGGCTTGACTCACTTCGTCCTGAGTGGTGCTATGCAGAAAAGCAATAACATTTCTTCTAGGAGCCGTTCTTGTGGATATTATTTTAGCGACTGCATCGAATTGTTATTAGTTATACCA